AGAGCATCCCTTCATTTTGTTAAAAAGGACCTCTGGAAAGCTTGAAAGGAGAGAGATGGTCACATAACACCCCAAACAATTCAAAACTATGTTACAAATTTAAATGAGACTACATACTCTGTCCACATTAATTAAAGGCAAGTTATAACATTAATGCAATAAAAAGTTAAAGCAATAATTATAATGCACCAACAGCCTTATGTATTGCTCTACAAATGTACAGCAAGTCCTTCTGTCTCAAAAAACTGCATCAAAAAGTAATGCTCTTGACTTTGTAACTTCTTTTCTTTCTGTCTATAAAGCCCCAAAAGTAATATTTTATGTCTTAGCCAATTTAATTAAAGGTTCATGCAATAGCATCACACACATGACCTAGTACATTTGAATCCTGTGTTTTTTTAAAACCCCACCTCCAACATATTGAAGCAGACAGTCATCCTGTTATTCTCCAGAGGTTTTGAGCTAACTGACAAAGGTGACTCTGGCTAGGGTTATAGTCCAAAAACTTTGTAGTGTCCCAACCTCATTGTTTAAATATGAAAAGGAATTTTGTGGGATAGCTTGTTAAAAAAAGTTGGTTTTTATTCATACATGAAGCAAATTCCCTTAAAACAGGAAGGGGGAATTCAGAAAGGGGGAGATTTCTGCTCTCCTAGCTTTTCCAGTGGATTAGATGTTATTACTAGTGTTCTTGGTTACTCCACACAGTAATTTGACCTGAGACCTAACATTGCCTTTCCTTGTTGTTTCCCAAGTTGCAAGGACTTGGATGACTCTTGCAACACCCTGTTAAGAATGTAGTTAGAGCATCATATTACAGCTGAAATGCTACTAGACTTGTGATGTGCTCCTCTCATCCCCTTTAGTTCCATACTTGTTACATTAACCTGTGTTTTTAAAATGTGATTTTAAACTGTTTTCTAATTTGTCTTTTAAATAACGGCCTTACTGGGGAGCTGTGTTTCCTGTTCCCAGGGTGCTTGTGCCCCACTTTGTCCTGGTCAGTGACCGTAATAAAGTTTTGTATTGTATTGTATTGACTCTTTTAAGAACCGGCTGGGAATGGTTGCTTTTATTCCATTTCCCTGTATAGGGAGAAAAAAATAAAATAAATTGTAGATTTTGGAGGGAACCCTTTGCTCTTTCTTCCATTGATGGGAACTAGGAAGACTACTTTTCTAGCTATCTGTGAGGAAGCAGAGTACGGAGTACATTCCGGGATACATTTTGTGGGCTGTATGGGAGATCCGAGATGTATAGGAAGTTTCTCAAGCCCAGATATTCTCTGTCCTCAAAGGAATTTAAAGGAGAATGACCTCTGTACATAATATATTTTATTGCTACCAAATTACTGTTTTGCTAACACATAATTGACAATCCTTGAATATTTTGCTGTGTGATCAGTGGGTGGAAAATGTCCTGAATTACAACTACCTGGTACAGTTGATTCATTCATATTACAAACAGTCTTACAACCATGTTTTGTATTTTGAATAAAGTGAATTTGGAGTGGTGTGTTCTTTAAAAAAGACTATTTCAGTAAAAGTTTCACATTTACCCAGTGAAATTATTTTGCTTGACCATGTTCCACTTGGATGCTAGTTCATTTGAAAAAGATAGTCTGGATATTTCATTGTTATAATTTTGGAGGTAACTTTGAAATTTCAATTCGGCTTCATAAGATGGAGGTCTATATGTTTGTGAAAGGAGTCCATATTCAGATGCAGCTATTTCTTTATTCATCCTTGCAACAGACATTCTTTTCTTATCACCTGCAATCATTTGTTGCATTTAGAATTTTTATTTAACAGGTTAAAATTAAGAGCATAAAGGTCTGCAATCATTTCTTTGTTCTCTTTTAAAAAATGTTTACTAGTTGGTGTCATTATAAAGCAAATTATAGTACTGAATACCAGCTTGCTATTCATATTTTAAAACAATTTTCTTTTTCTTTCTGTTGCAGTTATCTTCTAATCCAGCCTTACAACATGATTATGCATTTCCAGCATTGTGCTGTGAAACAGACTGCCGCCAGAGCTTTTAGTGTTAGTGGGCCAGGATGTTGGAATTCTACTACAACTACACATACATACAAAAGCCATGCAAAAGGAATTCTTTGTAACTTCTTCCAGCCTTTTTTTAAAGGACACTGCCCTTTTCCAAATTTGGAACAGGATTCTTGTGGGTAGACAAATCACTTCCCTTAGCAGCTTTGCACTCATACTCTTCATTTCTAATGCCAGTACTGAAGTGCCATGTCCTTATGGACAAAACTCCACAATGATTTCAGTAGAGGAAATCAGGATGTATGTTTTGTTGTTTTCGAAAGAAAAATCATGGAATTTCACAGCCTTTCATTTCAAAAGAAAAAGCACCTCATTTCCCCCTCAGATATTAGTATTTTACTCTTAGTTATGAATGAAATGGGAAACATACAAGCTTTCAGGTGTTGGACTGAGACTACCACTATCCCTCAGCATAGGATAAGCTGGAATGGGAGGTGCTACCCAATAATGTCTGGAGGCTTTTCATAGTTTTGAAATGGAAACATTAGGATTATGTCCAAATGTGTCCATCTGGTTGGAGATTTCCTTTCACATTCAGCTCAACCCCAAATCTATCCATGAGATAGAATGTGGATCCATGCCCAGAGATTCAAAATAATTTGGTAGAGGGACGAAGAAAAGAAGTCAAACCATACAAATGGAAATCTGTCACAATGTTGGAGTATTCTAACACCGATTATATACTATTGAGCTCCTTGAAGACAGTGAATTTTGCACAACACTAACCTATGAATACATGAGAATTCTTTGCTCAGCACAAAAGACTCATTCACATTAGTGGTACATCAAAATACTTGAAAGATTATTTGGTTGAACCAGACTACTACCTTTTTCTTTTGCACATGTTCAACAGCACACTGCCCAGTCTTGTTCAAATTACAGAACAAGTAATACCTTTATTTCTGTTCTGTACTTTTGTTATTATTTTAATGAATCATTTAATTAAAAAGAATTATCATCAATGGAAGGTAAACATAAGTCATAACCCAAAATGCACAATGGATCGGAGCATCTTGAAGGCAACTCCTTTCTATACATAAGGAACACATACTATGCAAGTAAGGTACAGGATGCATAATTGCCACAGTTGGGTGTTGTATGCCTTATTTTTCTGGCAACATCTGATAATCATTTTTTAAATTCCAGAATTCTAGCAACATTTTGCATTTCATGCACTTACTGTAGGTTTTGGGCATTCTCATCTTGGATTTCTAAAGGAAATAAAAACACTCGCCCTTGTTATTAGGATATCACTGCTACCTGTTGGTCTAGTCCAGTGGACTCATTGAATCCTGATTGTACAAGATATTCCTGGATTTATCAAACAATCATCATATGGCCACTAGAGATTTGCAGTCATTTTGGGCATTTTAAAATATTCTAGTAAAAGTTGGTGCTGAACTAATGACAGCAGATTCAGCTGTAATGGCAAGATTTGTTAGCAAGAGGTGAGCTACAAAAACATTGTGTTGTTGGATCTCTGGTAAATGGAGTTTTAAAAAAATATCCTGGCACCACCACTCCCACTGCTCCGGTGGTGGTGGTGGGGGAGTCCCTTTGGCCATTCTGTCAACAGAATGGAATTGACAGGAATAAATGCTGTATTAAGAATCAAGAGAGCAACTTACTGAAAGTGTCAGTGTGTCTAAGTAAGTAGCTGTGCATTTCCTGTTCCTGCACAAATAACAATTGAATGTAAATACACAAATGTTTCTAGTTAAAAAGCCAAATGGTCATATGCCAATATTGGAAAGAAGCCCAAATAGTTAAAACTAGTCATCTGTGTCTGATTAGTATCTGCATGCCTTTATTCAAATGCAACTGAAACCGGTTCGTAACTGTAATGCAAACTTTAGTACTCTTTTAAGAGTGAAGTGCATCATATTGGCTGGGTTTGAACTGCATTATTGCTTTCAATTCCATAAGCTATATTTGAAAACAAAATGTATGGACCTCCTACTCAGGCAGACCACAAAAATGGGATTTGGGAAGCAGCGAATACCAGATGGTTGGATATATGGAGAGATATGACTTAAACAGTCTTGCTAAGAGCAAGGGATAATGAAAGCTTATATGCTTCATTTTTTAATGTATTGTGCTCCCACCATGTCTGAGAACAACTGCATTTTATTGTGAGGAGCAAGAAAATAATAGTGACCTTGTGAAATGTAAATTGCAGGTTTGCAAAGGAACTTTAGCAATTTCTTGGTAAATTGGGCAAAAAGACTTCACTTTTGCATCTTTCATAATAAGATCAAAATGTGAGCTCCTAAACATTCATGGACATTTAAAATTATTTACCATCAAACTTTGAAAAATAGATAGTGGGTACCTCTAGAGCAGTGGTTCTCCGCCTGTGGGTCCCCAGATGTTTTGGCCTTCAAACTCCCAGAAATTATAACAGCTGGTACACTGGATGGGTTCTCTGGAAGTTGTAGGCTAAAACATCTGGGGAACCACTAGTTGAGAACTGCTCAAGTCATTCTGTGTTCACCATCTATAAGGAAGTATTGTGGATGATACGATTTTCAGCATCTATATCAGCATTTTCTTAGGTAAAGTCCTTTTTAGATTATCTTCAATTACAAGACTTTGGGCTACACACAAATATTTCCATACTGCAAGAAAAAAAAACTGAAGTTGTAGATTACTTGTATTTTTATTTCAGTTTCTGGTATATTTAAAAGAAGCATGTGTGCTACATAGTAGAATTAAATTGTTTGATACTGAAACTATTAATATGACAAAATTCCATCTTGGTATAAACCTTGGCATGTCACCATGTTGTAAGGCTGGAGTAGTGGATTTCATCTTCAACATGAAATGAATTAAATTAAGGAGAAGCTGTTCTGTGAGAGTAAACATAAGGTACTTCTATATTGACATTAATGTAATAATTTGAGTGTAATCAATGTTTTTAATCCTTCTTTTCAGGTTCATGGTAGGCTGTGGTAGATGTGATGATTGGTTTCATGGTGATTGTGTTGGTCTGAGCCTCTTTCAAGCACAGCAGATGGGAGAAGAAGACAAAGAATATGTTTGTGTGAAATGCTGCGCTGAAGAAGACCAAAAAACAGACTCAGTTGATGAAAACATTTTGAATGCACATGTAAAACTGGAAACAACAAAGGACAGTAGAACAATGGAATATGAGAAACCTGGAATATCAAAGCAAAGCTCCGTGCTTCCTCAAAATAAAGCAAAACAGGGAGAAGACTCTATAAAGCACAAGGTCAAAATTTTTAAGCGGGTAAGAAAGGTGTTTTAAAAAGCTTCTTTTGAAATGCTTGTTCTCATAATAACGTGTTGGTTAAACATTTAAACTAATCATAGTATTTACAAAGCACTTTTTAAAAAATGAAATTTGGATTGATTTGTATAGGCTGACTAGATCAGGCATGGACAAACTTTGGCCCTCCAGGCATTTTGGACTTCAATTCTCCCAATTCCTAACAGCTGGTAAGCTGGCTAGGATTTCTGGAAGTCCAAAACAGCTGGATGGCCGAAGTTTGTCCACGCTTGGACCAGATGTTGGCCAAAGGAATTGGGATAAAAGGCAAACTTTACCCTGTGTTTTTCGTCTGATGCAGCAATTCAGAGCGGATTTACTGCTAGCCTCATGTAGCCCCCCCCCCCCCCCCCCGGCCATTTATCTTGGGAAATCCCATGTTTTTGGTGATGTGTAGATGGGCCAATAGTCTTCCAAAGTGATCTCTTCTTACTATTAGAATATCCTTACCAAGGAGACCTTTAATATTATATTTTGGCATCTGGCAGGAAGATGATTGTTTTCCAAAACATTTTATAGTGATGGCATTTTTTAGTAGGAACAGATACGATTTTATTGTGTGACTGGATGGACTGCTTTTACTGTATTTCCTCAATTCTAAGACACACCTTTTCCTCATATAAACACCTCTCAAAACAGGGTGCATCTTAGAATCACAGGAGCTTTTTAATATATATATATAACATTTTTTTCTTTGTAGTACTGAAATTAGTTCTTACCATTGATGGCAACTTAGAATCAATGAAATATGGTATTTTATTTTGTGTTAATTCCTTAAGTGTATTTTTAAAAAGGATTTTTTGTTCTTTCTCACTGTTTGCAACCCTTCAGACCATAACTTTATGCTGAGAAATATCAGTATTTATCAAGTCTTTATTTTTTTATAACAAACAGGAATGCAAGTAATTTTTAATATGTGAACCTTTAATATATGAACACTTTTTCCCTAGATGTTTTTTTTTAATGTTAATTGTAATCATTGCTCTTTCTGTTATTTCTTAACCTTTGTTTTTAGGAATCAGGTGATGGACGGCCAGTCACAGAATCCAGAGAGCCTGAAATGAGAAAGGGACAACAAATGCTTATTAAGAAAATTGGACAGGCAGTTACACTTCCCCGGCGATCATCTGAAGAAAAACATGAAAAAACAACTAAGGACAGTCTAAATGTTGCTTGCTCCAGTGAAAGTGCAACAAAAACAGGTAACTAACACTCAAAGTAACTTGTTTTCCAAAGCATTTATAAACAGAATACTAATCCTAGCAGTAGAATTTAAAAAGTTTTCAGTTCTGTCAATCCATATTTTTTTTTATTACCTTGGCTTTCATAGGGGATTTCTTAACAATCTCTTCCCTTCTCCTGTGGAATTTTGCATTGAAGTTATTGAACATTTCTACAATGTTACCATGATTTATCTTTCCATGTAGGTGTTCAGGAGAAGCAGGAAGTCAAGAAAAAAAGAACAGAAAGGGGGGGAACAGCTAGTAACACTCACCCACCTGTTTCCTCTGCCACCAAGCCTTCTGTTGATCAGATAAGACAAAGTGTTAGGCAGTCGCTTAAAGAAATCCTAGAGAAAAGGTATGGGTTCAGCACTAAATAATATTTCAACTGATTATGTTTTTTGAAAAGCAAAATTAAAATATATATATGTAATTTTAGACTCACAGATTCCACCTTGAAGATTCCTGAAGAAAGAGCAGCAAAAGTTGCAACTAAGATTGAAAAAGAGCTGTTTTCCTTTTTTCGGGATACTGATTCCAAGTATAAGAATAAATATAGAAGCTTGATATTCAATCTGAAAGACGCCAAAAACAAAGTATGTCCTTTGGTTGTTACACGTATATATATTTAATGTAACTACTCATTGATTTTCTTCCTGGGATGAAGGGAAATTATTTCAGCATGCTTACAGATTTTTCTCCTTTATTTGTTTTTTCTCTTCTTCAAATAGCAAGAAACTAGCAATTCTCTGCTCTCTTTCAGTTATTTTGGTAGTGAATCCAAAAATTGGACTGAAATATATAATATGTTATAAGTTTGATTTGTTAGCTATAATTGAATATCATTTTTATAGATACTATTTAAAAGAGTATTGAAGGGTGAAGTAACTCCAGACCACCTCATAAGAATGAGCCCAGAAGAGCTGGCTTCTAAAGAACTGGCTGCGTGGAGGAAAAGAGAAAATAGACACGTATGGTTGATTCTTTTTTTTTTCTTATATAAAAGTCAAAGACTGTCTGTACTACAAAGGTAGTTGCTAGATGAAGGATTGGCCCTCTGATGTCACTGGATTGGCTGTTGTTAGGTGAAGTGTATCCTCTGTGATGTCACTAGGAATGAAAGGTGACATGAGAGAAAGGGAGGAAGGAAGGAAGGAAGGAAAGAGCCACAAAGATGGCCATTTTGCCATGAAGGCATTGTGAAATAGGGAAGGAAGAAAAGAGAAAAAGGTAGGAGGGGAGGGGAAAAAAAAAAGGATGAAAGCTGGGGGGGGGGGGGATGACCCCTCTGACACCCAGGAAACACAATCTACTATTTCCTATTCCTTGAAACGTTTAAGAACACTGTTGTTTCTTGTAACTTTCATGTTAGTGGGAATTTTCTCTGAGAGCATCTATTATGGTTTTGGCAGGTGAAGAAGAGGAAGGTTTAGGATCCTTACGCTGGTTCACATAGCTCTAAACTAAACAATAGTTTATCATTGGGTCAAAATGTGAAATAGTTGTAGAATGATTGCTTCGGTTGTCCCTTGCTTTTTTCCAATCTGTTAATCATGTTAACTCAGTTTGAACAGTGAGTGTCACATTCCCACAAATACTGGAATGGTTAAGTAATGTAAATTGCAGTTTAGCACATGTGAAGAGTGAAAAGTTGAAGACACCTGTGTCTTCCGGTGATTGTTTTCATAGCTTTTTGGATTGTCAAGTTCATCTTTTTTCTCTCTCATTGACAGACAATTGAAATGATTGAAAAAGAACAGAGAGAAGTAGAAAGACGACCAATCACAAAAATTACGCATAAAGGAGAAATAGAAATTGAGAGTGAGGCTCCAGTAAAAGAGCAAGAAGTAGCCATGGAAATTCAGGTTATATTTGTCTCTGTTATTAATATGATGTTTGTGCTTGTATATAACAAAGCCAGTGCATTTTTTAAAAAAAAATAACTGTCCTTAAGCAATGCCATGACACGTTATCTCAAATTACTTTTGATTAATTTGCCTTTTTGAGAAATGTTTAGAAATTTCTTAGGGAGATCGCCATTTCTCTTGTGAGCAGTAGATCTTTGCAGTGTCATTCATGCTGGATCTCCCCTCTAAGGGGGAAGGCAGCCACATTAGAAAAATATATGGATATATTGACATTTCTAACATGCTTTCTCCCTCTTAAAGTTCAAAGTTTTGACCCTTTGTAATGGCTTCTAAAGTTAAGATCACAGTCTTGACCACAGATCCATTAGCTGGAAGGAAATAGGATGAGGAAGATGAAACCCTTTTCTTACAGAGAGAGTTTCTTTCTAGATAGTTCCTATCAATCCTAAAAAAAGCTCTGTGAGTGTAGATTTACTTTTAGTAGTATTTGTTTCCCTATGAGTAGGTCCTGTAGCAAATTATTAAAGAGACAAAATAGAGACATCCCTAGATATACTGCATCCGTGTTTTTCATCCCCCCCCCCCCCAAAATAAAAATAAAAATTGGGATTGGATTGTTCGTTACACCTTTCTAAAACTGATATAGGCATTTCCTGATGAAACCAGTGGACTGGGGTGAAATAGAACTGCTAGCTTGAAAAGGATAAATCTTCCCACTCTGTGTCTTGGCTGATGTGAGGTCAGTAGGGCTTTGGGCATGACAGATGACCTGTCACCTTTTCTTCAGACCACTTCATGTAGGATTACTCTGCATGTAGTGGCTTTCCTTTGGCCTAATGTTAGCAGTTAACTAATATTTTACATTATTACAATATTTTATTTTTAATGTTTTCCCTCCTTATGCATAGGAACCTCCTCCAGTTAAGATTGTGGAGAAGATAGAGGAGACTGAAAAAGAGGAAGAAGTTGATGGATCTGCTATTCCTGATACAACAAGTCAACATAAAAACCATCTGTTTGATCTTAATTGTAAAATTTGCATAGGTAATATTAACTAGCATACTGAAAATACATTGCTTGTGTCTTGACTTGCCCAGTCTCATACTACTATCACATCTACTGTTCCTTTGGAGTATAGCTCTCAACTGCTAGATGACATCTTCCCTGAGTCTTTATATAAGAATCTTATATACGTTGGGTTGAACTAAGTATGAAGGACGCAGGAAAGTCCATTCCCTCCTTGTGATCTTCTTTCGGTTAACTGCATCTTAACTATGTTTGTTTGAAAGAAGTCAGCTGCATTAAACTGGTTCAAATGGGCATGTTTCAACAAACCATATCTAAAACTACACAGTTTTCCTCAAATGTGGATAACAGAAAACATCTCTACAATAACAGAAAACAACATCTTCACTCTTCCTGCCCTGTTGGAATGGAAAAAAGAAATTAACAAACCTGTGTACTATTGAGGCTTCTTTTCATAACAGTAAACTTACGTTTACTGTTGTATCCAAATTACAGCAGTGCATAAAGTCTCTTTTCGTTTCATTTAATAGGATATTTAAGCAAGGATTGTGATACATGATTATTATGGCATATATTTGAGTGACATTTTCAAATTTGCCTTTTCAAGGTCGAATGGCTCCACCAAGCAATGACCTTTCTGGGAAAAATGTGAAAATAGCTGTTGGAGTGGCCCGTAAACCCTCAGACAATGAAGCTGAAAACATTGCGGATGCACTGTCTTCAGCAACAAGCATGCTCACTCCAGAATTATTAGATGAAGATAAAGACTTACCAAATGCAACACTTACTTCTTCTTCAAGCTCTAGGTAATCTTTTGTGATTTTATGCACATAAGTGCTGTGCCTTAATAGTATTTTGGCATAGGTTACTGCCTTCTGCCCTATCCCTTGTCTTCATTATTTCCCTACAGTTTTTTTTTCCGACTCTAAAGCATCTTGAGAGCATGTATACACCCAGAATGCCAGTGGTTGAGTGATACAATAATGCTAAAAATATTAATCATATTTCAAGTGTCCCGCAGACTGCTTGTCAGGGCAACTTGTGTGCCAAACAAAAGACATTTATTCACTTTGTGACAGTTTCTAATACCTTCTTTTTCTCCAGCGTATTAAATTTTGTTATCCTTAAAGGACAGAAAGCTTTCTCATCGATTGAAATTTGATGCAATGGTGTTTATTGCAAGCATTATCCAGTTGATGAAGGGTTGGTTTTTGTTTGTTTGTTTTTTTGTTTTCTCATATTTTGGTTAAATGGTTCATAAAAGTTATCTTTAGTAAAAGGGGAAAGATTTATACAATCTGAAAAGAAACCAGAGTAAGTTATCCAACCTCTATCCATTGTGTACACTGCCGCAGAACAACTGGAGTCTTCCCCTTCTCGGTTGCTTCCCTATAAATCACCAACTGTGTGATTTTTTTTTTTTGCCTTTCCCTTGACAACAGTATCTACATGATGAACAAGCCACCACTTGTATGAGGACAAGGAGGTCCTAAAACAGACTGTTTCCATTAGTGGTTCCTTTCTCCCTTCTCCAACGCTTTGCCCTCCACATACCTTTGAAATCTGGTTAAATATGTTCATTGTTTGCCAGAAGTTAGCATTTTATGTTTCTTCTTCCTAGTATAGGTGGTTTATAATAATTCTTTTTTCCGTACTTTCCCCCCTTCAGATCAGAAACACCTGGTACTGTTGAAAGTGAAACACTATTTCTGGCCCGCCTGAACTTCATTTGGAAGGGCTTTATCAACATGCCATCTGTTGCAAAGTTTGTTATCAAGGCTTATCCAATCTCTGGCTCTTTTGAAAGCTTAACAGAGGTAATGTAATGTACCAACATTATTGCTTGCTTTAGAAGACTTTTCTGAATTTTCTTTTCTCCACTGCAAAATAAAATCTGGCATATAGTCCTCTAAAATCAAGCCCTGAGTTTGCAAGACCCGAGAAGGCCTGTTGATAACTGAGAGTCTTGGGGATCTCTCATCCATAAGAGCACTATAAGTCAAAGCTGACTTGAAGAGAATTATCAGCAACAAAAATGTTGTTGAGCCATTTGTTAAAATGTTAAGAGCCATTTGTTTATTTTTCCTAGAAAGCTTTGGATTGTAACTGTTATGCAGCCCTCCATTTGTTTTTGTGCATCATCTAGCATAAGTCATATGTATTGTAGTCTAGTAACATCTGAAGGACTACACTTTGTCCAACCATTAGTAGATGCTTATCTGTTCTTCTTATCATGATGATCTTAAAGCTTGGGTGATATACCAGTAGCTAATCTGAGTCCAACACTTCCTGCTGTTTTCCTTTTCTTTGCTCATTGGCTCGCTTGTGTCAGTAAACAAACCAGTTGAAAATTATATCACTTTTTATTTGCCTTTGCTATAAACCATGAGCCTTATACTGATAACTCTCTGTAAAGTCTGACATAATCATAACAGTGCTTTCTGAAACTTCTATAATTTTTAGAACATGTATTGTTTTAAAATAAAGACATTTATAATCTTTTTCTTCTAATAGGATTTGCCAGATAGTATCCAGGTGGGTGGCAGAATATCTCCTCAAACTGTCTGGGAATATGTTGACAAAATAAAAGCAACAGGGACAAAGGTAAAGACAAATATATTCTTATTCTTGAAATGCAATGTAGTAATAGTAGATTATTTTTTTTTTGTCGTGTCAGGAGCAACCGCTCCTGTTGTGAGAGAATTGGCCATCTACAAGGACGTTGCCCGGGACGCCCGGATGATTTCTGATGTTTTGTCATCCTTGTGGGAGGCTTCTCTCTTGTCCCCGCATGAGGAGCTGGAGCCGATCCGCATGAGGAGAAGGAGCTCATCCGCCTCTCCCGGGATTCGAACCTGCGACCTGTCGGTCTTCAGTCCTGCCAGCACAGGGCTTTAACCCACTGCGCCACCGGGGGCTCCTTAGTAGATAATAGTAGTAGATTTTGTGTGTGTGTGTATGTGTGTGAATGCTGTAGTTTTCCTTTTTTTACAGTGCAGAATTTCATGCTGCTGCTTTTCCTCTTTGGCATAAATTTTGCAGTGTCATTCATGCTGGATGTGATATTAGACAGAAAAGTGACTGTCACAAAAAAAACACCTCGTTGTGGAATTGTTCTGTCTTCAGTAATGAATGAGTTTCTCGTTATTCTGTCTTTCACTTTAAGTATATTTTCCCCATATATGTAAAGACCCAAAACCTATCATAGGGTTTTTGTAAGAAAACTTTAAAAATCATAGTTTGAATGCTTTGAAAGGAGATGAAGTGGTAGTAGGAAGGACAAGGTGAATGTGCCTTGTAACTAGGAAACTTAAATCTGGATTCTTGAATGCAGGAAGCTTTTGCTGAGAGTGCTTTTATGCCTTTAAGCAAACAAGCAAAGTGACAAGGGTGGAATACACAATGATTAAAACAAGGAGAAAATGAAGCAAGTTTTCCCTTAAGAATAAAATATTTTCATATGTCTTTCTGATTCCATCTACAGTCCAGGCAGAATACATAATTTTGGCTTGGTCTTATCTGATGCAGTACAGTTTCCTTGTGAGAAGCATTGAGTTCAAGTGTCCATATTTAATTGTACTGTATTTGAAAGAAAGGCTAGAGATCTCCAAATCAAGACATGAAGAGCTGTCTCTAATGGTTGAGCAGTATTGAGCCTTTCCTTTAATGATTTGGAGATTTCTTCACCCCAAGACTGTTTTACTGGGGATGAATTGGTCTTTTGGTTCTGCCTTCCAACAGTAATGCCCTAAGCTAAAGAGAGCTCTCTTCTACTTGGTGGAAATCTATCAAGGGGGCCCTCCTCAAAAGATTTTCCAGGAATTGAAGTATGTATAGTGTCAAATTCTCTCTCAGTGGGAAATAGATTTACCTTTAAGTTGATGTGCTGATTTTTCCCCTCTGATTTTAAAGGGCTTGGAACAGAAGCTCTACCATATGTTTTAGAAAGCCAAGATGATGGTTGCTGTCAAATTTCCCTTCTCCTGCTGTCCCCTTCCCAACTCTAAACTGTGATTTTTAAAGGAAAGGATTGACAACTTGTAAATAAACTTTTCTCCTCTTTCAACAGGAAATTTGTGTGCTTCGTTTTACTCCTGTGACAGAAGAAGACCAGATTTCATATGCTTTGTTGTTTGCATATTTCAGCAGCAGAAAGCGTTATGGTGTGGCAGCTAATAACATGAAGCAAATCAAGGATTTATATATTATCCCTTTAGGTGCTTCTGATAAAATTCCACACCAGTTGGTGCCTTTCGATGGTCCTGGTAGGTAACAAACATTGTGTATTGATCCAAGAGGTGCTCAAGTTGAAAGTTTTGTTGTTTTTATTTAACCATTTTTTAATTATTACAAATGTCTTATAACTTGAAAGTTTGTTTTGAAGCATTCATGAAACTTCTGAATGGTGGGCACATGCTTGGTGTAAAGCATTGACTTGATTGGCTTAAAAACTATAAACAAACAAAAAGCAAACATTTCTGCTTCATTTTGGCTCATGGTTGACATTAATACTCTGTATTAAGCAAGTATTTGCAAAGTGGGGAATTCTACTTATCAGGAGCAGGTCTTGGGGAAAATACAAGTTTCTCCTGACATATTTAGTAATTTGTCTATAAATGTTTGGCTTGAGCTTTCTGAGAATGCAATGACATAGCTACCCCTTTGGTTGATGAGCATTTATCCTAAAATACATTATTAGCTTATACTCCTATGATTTTGTTTTTAATACAGGTATTGAAGTTCATCGACCCAATTTGTTGCTGGGCATGATAATTCGCCAGAAGCTAAAAAGACAGGTCAGTGCTGTCATTAGCCACGTTGAAGAAAATGCCGAAGGTTTGACACCCGAAAAGAAAAGTAAACCAAGTAAATCTGAGGTCCTTTATTCTGAAATAGTTGAAAAGGAAGAAGAAGAAAATGACTTTTTTAATTCTTTCACTGCTGTATTGCACAAACAAAGACTCAAGCCCCAGGTATCTAACATAGAGGAAACAACAGCAAGTGAACCAGTTGTTGAGAGCATCAAACACGAACCACTGAAGCCTCTTCGTTTCCTTCCTGGAGTTTTAGTTGGATGGGAAAACCAGTCATCGGCTCTTGAACTAGCAAGTAAGCCACTGCCAGTGGATGACATCCTTCAGAGCCTTTTGGATACTACAGGGCAGATGTCTGAACATATCCAACCAACAGGAGACCAGCCTGCTACTGAAGATCTGCCGTTATCAGACAAACAGGCAGCACTGAAAGAGGAAAAAGTGGATGTCCCTGTTATAATTACTGAAGTTGAAGAAACAAAGGGTAAAAATGAGAATTCAGATGAATCCACTGATATCATCTCAGCATCTGATACACCCATGGCAGATGTCTCCTGTTCTTCAGGAAGTCTGACAAGCCTAAGTCTTAAGGGGAAACCACCAGATGTCTCGACGGAAGCATTTTTAGCAAATCTGACCAGTCTGTCACAAAACAAAGAAACCAAAGAGACTGTGCAAAGTGGTCTAAAGTTGGGTGATGCAGACCATGTTTCTCTGGAAACTAAAAGGGCCATAGATTTTCCTGTTCCAACAGGTGTGGGAAAAGGAATTGGGAGCAATAATGTGGCCATGGCATCTGTTGATAATGCGACAATTAGCAGTTCAAAGTCTCCACCGTTTATCAACCTTAAAAGGGACCCAAGGCAAGCAGCAGTACGAGGCCAACAGAACAGTGGTTCAGAAAATGATAGTGATAGTCTTAGAAATGAAGAGATGCAAAATAGTAAAGAGCTGGACCTTTTAGGAACAGAGCAGACAAAAATAGATAGCACAATACTTTCAGGAAATGACTTAGCCACAGATCAGAGCAGTAGTCAAGCTGCCTCTACTGTGGATAGTGCATGTTCCTCACAGCTGGAAGGCACAAATCAGTTGCATGAAGAAGGACTGATGCAAAGCATTGAAAAAGCTCATTCCATTAGAGGAGGATTATTACCACCCCCGCTGTCATCATCATCATCTCAGTTTGAGTCTGAAAATTCATGCCATTCTGACTTTGGTATCGAAACGGCCAGTCCTGTTGCAAGTGGAAACTTCTCACCTATCAGGACTCCGCAACCTAATTTCCCACTCACAAAAATGACTCCGCCTGGTTTTCAGTTTCAAGGGGCTGTTGCTCCTAATTTTCCCCCACAAAACCACCCCATGTTTGGGTTTCCCCCTCACCTGCCCCCTCCACTTCTTCCTCCCCCAGGATATGGCTTCCCACCGAACGCTTTGATGCCTTGGCCCCCTGTTCTTCACCTGTCAGGTCAGCCACCACCACATTTTATGGGACCACTCCCACAAGCCCCACCCCTAGCTCACAAACCCCCGAGACCCACTGGACCAGAGAACCTTTATCAGGACAGGGACACCAGGAGACCTGAGAGACGCCACAGTGACCCTTGGAACCGGTCTGTTTTGCACGCAGATAGGGCATTCAGCAGGAGGAAAAGCGATCAGCACAGACAGAGGTTTTACAATGAATCCCACTCCCTCAGAAAGGGTCGCCATGACTGGGAGCCAGAGTCTGAAAGGAACCGGCATAGAGATAGAAGCCAGGACAAAGAGAGAGAGAAAAAAAACAGAGAAGATGGGCATCGGGAGAAAGAGAGGTCACGGCTTTCATACAATGATAAAGACTCTGAAGGCAAATCTTCAAAGGAGGGTAGGAATCCTGAGAAAAAGGAGGTTCCCAAAAATGAAGAGCGTGCTCATGAGCGGGAGAAGGAAAGAGAAAAAAGTAAGGAGAGGCATAGAGAGCGGGAGAGTGAAAAAAGCAGAGAGAGGCATCACAAAGATAGGGACCACGGTGACCGAGGGAAAAGTAAAAGGTAAAAGCCAGGAAGGTTATGGGATATCTTCTGGCATTTTTGAACAAACAGGAAGTAATCTGTTTTAAAAATATCCTAAAACTCTGTATAAAAAATGCTTGGGTATATCTGTGCCATCATTTCTTTTTCTTTTATATATATATATATATATTCCCTGTTTAATGTTTTGTAGGAACAAGTCTGGTTTGGTATCTATATGTGTACCACTTAATCCATTGTTTTAAACAATATGTTGGCCTAGGATTAAAGTTGAATCATTCGACACTTTATATTGCTTCTAATCAATATTTTGAGGGTTTCTTTTTTTTAAAAAAATGCAATAAAAACATGTAGAGTTCCTTCATTTTTCAAATTTGTCTACAGTTGAAATGTTTGCAGCCTTTGGTGATGCATACTGTCTTTGAAGATGCTCCCGTGATTATAAAAGTGGCATTTGTACCACTAGCTCTTGTAAAATTGCACTGGCTTTTTAATTGGACCATAGCACAGCCTCTGAATCCATTTTTGAAAGTGACATACAACATGTGCTGAGTGGAGTTGAAGACTTGCAAAAGGACTACATGAAAAAAACACAAGTATTTACTATTGGTTAATTCCTGTGCATCTTAAACAGTTAGCGAGCAGAAATGAGAAGGCCGCATGGTCCAAACGTTATTGCTTATGAACACACACAATTTTAATAGGTCTTTTTTCACTATTAGCTTTATTCTCTCAGTTGTATTAATTTTTCACACATCACTCATGCTTCGGAAATGTGAATACCTAAGCTTGTACATGAAATTGTGTTTTACTATTCTTTGTATTGTAAAATGTAAATATTTTAAGGATATTTTGATTCTACAAATGATAAAGCCTTCTCACAGCTGTCGTTTGATTTCAATAGATGTGAAGCAATAGGATAAAACAAATATAACAGAAAGATGTATAAATGTGGCTTGGCTTTACAAATCCAGACTGATAATTTTTAATGACCTTGAAGGTTTTTAATAAATAGATAAGTAAAAAAAATGTGTGATTTTCTGTGGAAAACCATAGTAAATCCCCCCCCCCCCCCCAGCGTTGGATGCTACGGCACTATTATGTTCAAGATCCTTGTTTTGAAGCATTCAGTAAAATTAAGAATGTTGTGCATAAAGTACCTCCTTGAGTTAATGAACTTGCCCATGGACATATATTTTTCTGCCCTTTGGTACCAGGAAAGAAAGAAAAAAAATCATACTTTCCAGTAATATGTGATTAAAACATTTTTTTGAAATCCTATTTAAATGCATCAGCCTATTTGCAAAGCTTGCACATGGCTTTATTTAGCCAATTTTTAAAAAAGAAATCTATACCGTACAATGCTTGCTGGTAGCTTTTGTTGCAAAATATGACTGCCCAAAGAGTTAGCTTTTAAAGATGTATTTTTGATCACTTTCCTTGCAATTTTTGGGTGTCAGCAGAGGAACTCAGCATTCCTATATGAGAGGGCTGTCTTCCAGAATAGGATGTCATCCACAATCTACCACTTCCAAGTCACAACTTTGTACAAGTTTTATTTCCCAGTATTCTCTTGCCTGATTAAACAGTGTTGGACTGCCAGTAAATATGAGAAGAAGACAATAAAACAGAAGGGGAAAACCCCTATTTTCCCTAAAGCAAGTTAGGAAAACAGTAGGAGAGTAAGGGCAGCATTCACCTCCTAGGATAGCGTCTTCCCAAACGGTCTTTCAAGTGTTTTCGACTTCCAACCCCCAGAGGTCCCAGACGGCTTTTCAAGAATTCTGGGAGCTGAAGTCCAAAATGATAGGTTGGGAACCACTGGCCTAGGAGAGTATGGAGAGTCACTGGCTGATGAAATGGCACATGGGGAGCCACAGTGGCAATGGAAGTGGCTGAAAGTTCATTAAGAATCCTTTAAAATATTAAAGTTGAGGTGAATTGTTGAGATTTCTCATAGATAATTTAGATAATTTTTGCCAGAAAAGGAACACTGGGTACTTTGAAGAGATGGCGCATGCTTGCCTCACACCATGAATACAAACTGAAAGTGCTGTCAATCTCCTGCTTCCAGCAATTTTAGCCGCCAAAATGGCAGCTAGGAGTTTGATTTTTTTTTTGTCTTGAATCTTTGCTAAAAGGCTTTTTGGCTAAAGCCCGTTTCTATGGTACCACAACAATATATACTCTTTGGTTAAAAAAAACGACACCCCAAAATTGGAGTAGTTTACTACTTCCCTTTACTCTCAATCTGCAGGGTTGTTTTTTTTTTTTAATTCATGTCAGGAGCGACTTGAGAAACTGCAAGTCGCTTCTGGTGTGAGAATTGGCCATGTGTAAGGATGTTGCCCAGGGGACGCCCAGATGTTTTTATACTTTACCATCCTTGTTGGAGGCATCTCTCATGTCCCTGCATGGGGAGCTAAAGCTGACAGAGGGAGCTCATTCAATCTCTCCCTGGATTCAAACTTCTGACCTGTCAGTCTTCAGTCCTGCCGGCACAAAGGTTTAACCCATTGCGCCATCAGGGGCTCGGCAGGTAAGAAACTACCCATTCAGGCACAACATGGCTATGGGGGCAAAAGATGAAACTGAGTATAAGTTTGAGTCAGTGGCATCAAAAGTTTAATAAAAATATATAATTCTCTGTATTTTAGTATTGGTTTTTGATGCAGGCCTTATATTTGCATGTCGATCTCACTAGCTATGTGTATGTTTATACTTTGAATATATAACTTGTGTGCTTTCAAGTATTTTCTAGCAATGGTAACCCTATCACACAGAGTTTTCTTAACCATATGTGTTCAAATCAGGATTTGCCTCAGTGCTCAAATCACATCTCCACACAGGCTCCATTTTATAATGTCCATTTATTTTGACTTACCATTTTCTTGGGGTACTGTTTGCAATTTGTGGTCCCCTCTCCTGCAGATTTTCATATGCTTACATTGCAAAATTACAGATGCTTCAAGTTTTCATAAGGAGCATTGGAAAGGCAGCAATCATTTCTGCTTACTTCCAAGAAGGCTTGGGTGATGCAGTCGATCTTCAAGTAAAGTCTTGGACGATTTGAGGTCACTTAGATAGGCATCACCTGAGTCATATCAGCACTGTTGCCTTGGATGTAAAGTCCCATCCTGTTCAATTTTTCTGATGGTCTTTGGGCTATACAGTAGATCTCTGACTGGTTAGTTATGCTCTTTTTGGGCCTCTCATGGCTCTAGCCTACCAATTCAAAATCTAAATTGTCAAAGAAGGTTGAATATAAAAAATCCTTCCCTATAACATACATTTTTCAGGGTTGACCGGAACCTATATGTTGCAGTTGTTTTGGCTTCTGCCTATCCCAACTTGGGTATTCATTGGTCCCAAGTGTATGATGCATGATAGACATATGAGAAAGCACTTTCTCATGACTTTGCCTGCACTTTCTGGCCTTTTTTGGAGGGCCTCCACTGAAGAAATATATTCAAGGCTTCCCATTTTACTGACAGAAATAACTGGAGACACCCAATTACAGGCAAGTGACTGATTTTTGAGGTAGTTCAATAAGAAAAAGAAGAGGAAACTCTTGATACGATAGAAACATTTTATTAAACAATAAGTATTTGATAAAAGCTAACTGGCTATATTTTGAGAGCCATGGAACAAGTACTATTTTTCTGTCGTACATCTTCATGCGGGTACATGTTTTTAGCTCAATTTCTTTCAAAGGAGCCCTCTATTAGAATCGACAGGGCAATGTCACATTTATCTTTAGTAAAAGCACCTCAAAAGATGTAACTGTGAAGAACATTTCGAAGTGATTTTTAAAGCATTGCAAACTTCCATATAAGTCTCTCTGGGAGCTGAGTTTTGGATTCAGTGGGTTGGAAAGAAAAGCATTACCACATTTTTTTCAAGTCAGGAAGTTATCTTAAAATCTTCACTACAGTTACCCTTTTGTTGGATGCTTTCATGGCTGGAATCAGTGGGTTGCTGTGAGTTTTCAGGGTTGTATGGCCATGTTCCAGAAGCATTCTCTCCTGATGTTTCACCCACATCTATGGCAGGCATCCCCAGACATTGTGAGGTTTGTTGGAAACTAGGCAAGTGGGGTTTATATTTCTGTGGAATGCCCAGTCTGGAACAAAGAACTCCTTGTTTGGGGCAAGTGTGAATGTTGCAATTGTCCACCTTAATTATCATTGAATGGCCCTGCAGCTTCAAAGCCTGGCTGCTTCCTGCCCAGGGGAATCCTTTGTTGGGAGGTGTTAGCTGGCCCTGATTATTTCTTGTCTGGAATTACCCTGTTTACTGAGTATTGTTCTTCATTTACTGTCCTGATTTTAGAGTTTTTTTTTAAATACTGGTAGCAAATTAAGACAGTAAATAAAGAACAACACTCAGAAAATGGGAAACCCAGACAGGAAACAATCAAGTCAAGCTAACACCTCCCAACAAAGGATCCCTCCTGGCAGGAAGCAGACAGGCTTTGCATGCTAATCAAGGTGGCCAATTGCAACATTCTCACTTGCCTCCAGCAGACAAGAGTTCTTTTTCCCACCCTGGACATTCCAAAGATATATAAACCCTACTTGCCTAGTTTCCAACAGACCTCACAGTCTCTGAGGACGCCTGCCAGAGATGTGGGTGAAATATCAGGAGAGAATGCTTCTGGAACATGGCCATACAGCATGGAAAACTCATAGCAACCCATTTTCCCTTGATTCTTTGGTAACCACAAACTTCTCATTTAGATTACAAATCTTGCTCCTGAATATGGACAAATGTGGGACTTGATTACAAGAAACCAAGACAAAACATTTTTAGTGCTTTCTACAAATCTTCAAAAAACATGCATAGTATCATCTTTTTTGTAGTTTCAAACAGATTTGTGAAAAATTGTGCGTTTCAAACAGTGTGTTATTTAAAAGTGCTGTGTGTTGGGTTTCAAACTTTCTGCTTTTATTTTAGAACTGAATAAAATTGTTTTTATTTCAATCATATATAACAAGCCATCTTGGGAAGGCTTTGCTACAAAAAATGGTATTTGAACTCACTGTCATTGCAGCAGTAGAAAGGAGAGGGAGGGAAGGAGATTTGGCATTTATGTTTTGAATGAATGCATCCCAAAACACAGAAAGAGATAGTGACAATTGAAAAGGCATAAAGTTTACAACAATATTAAAAACTCATTTTATGTCATGAATCCTAAGGAACAAACCCCTATAACTGCTACTTAAGGTGCATCTATGTTGTAAATTGAATGTGGTAAATTGTATGCACTTTTAACTGCCATGGTTCAATACTTTAGGATCCTGGTAGTTGTAGTTTAACAAGGTCTTCAGACTTCTGTAGCAAAGAGTTCTGGTAACTCACCAGACTACAAATGCCAGGATTCCATAGGACTGAACTATCACCGTTAAAGTGGGGTTACACTTTAAATTCTACAGTGTGGATGCACCTCAAGATAAGTAACATCAAAGCATTGCTTCATGATCTATAGGAGAACGGATCATTGTTGCTTGCAGTGGCTGCTCGCTGATAAAACAGTGGACTTTGACAATCATTGCAGTTGTGTTGCAATCATGAATATGTTGGGACCATAAATATGAATTGGCTACAGATACATAACTGTAGGTTGCTTACCCATAATTGCCTACATGCCTTACTTATTTGATTTATAACAGCAGCTAGAAAATACAGAAAAAGGTTTGGTATTCTCAAAATACTACAGTCAGCACTCCATGTGTAGTGAGTGTATCCACATTCAACCATCCATGGCTTGAAAATATTCAAAAACAAAAAGCATGATTTTGTCATTTTTGTATAAGGGACACTATTTTACTACATCTTTGTATATTAAGGAACTTGAACATCGATACATTTCGGTAGCCTTAGAGGATCCCAAACCCCAGCAAATATAAAGACCCCACTGTATATTTGCATTAAAACAATAATTACCTTTTCTCAACTGTTATTTGATAGCATATATATATAAATCTTCAATTGGCCCTCCACATTTGTGTATTTGACTTTTGCAGATTTTATAATTTATAGAACTCTCCAAGATTTCACTGTAAGTTGCCCATAAAGTCAACCTGGAGGACTCGGAGATCCCTAGAGGACAACTGAAGTTGACCACACCATTGTGCAGCAGCTAAAGAAAAATGGCTTTTAAAAATACATTTTTCCATATCCATGGGGATCCTAACTGCAACAAATATGGAGGGTTAACTAGTACAACATCAAGCAGTTGCAATGAGTGTGGGCAAAGCCAATTTCCAGTTTCTAAAGAAGAGCCTCTAAAACATCTTCCATGAGGCTTGACACGACTGGCTTGCCATGTGTATGTACAGTTAGTTCTTTGCTGTTTATTTGGACTGTTGTCAGTTTGCCTGGGATTTAAGCCTTGCACTGGGGATATATAAGAATGGGGGGGGGGGGGGGGGGAAATAGGACTATATTAGGGAATAAGGATTCAGAACCAAAGAGGTTAAAATAATGGTATAAAGTAGAYAATTGTGACAAGTGTTAAGGAGAATGGAAGAGGAAAGAAATTATTACTCAGATTTTTCAACAGCTATGAGAAAAAAAAGTAACAGGGAGACTGGTCAAGAGAAAGTGGTTAAAACTAAAACAGAATGGTCTGAAAACCATAGACCTGGAAAAACTTTGGTAATTAAACAGAGAGGGAAGAGAGTAGGATCATGGCAGAACTATAGGCCTAAAGACTGAAGGAATTGGACATGATTTGTGAAAATTATGTAGGCAAATAAATGGAGTAGGGGTGATGGGCTCCGAGGCTAAGGGTACATCTACACTGTAGAATGAATGCAGCTTGGCATCACTACCTGCCATAGCTTAGTGTTATGCAATTACTGGAGTTGGAGTTGTACATCTTTAGCCTTCTTTGCCAAACAGTGATACTGCCCCACGAAATCCCAGAATTCCATAACATTTAACCATGGCAGTTAAAGTGGTGTCGAACTAGATTAATTCTACACTGCAGATGCACCCAAGCCCCCAGTGTGATCTTTCCCAGCAAACCTAAGGGAACAAGCAGAGCCCAAAGATTTGCATGGAACCTATAGGGCACAGATACACATTGTTGTCTTAACAAAGACAATTATTTATATGTAAGTTTTTAGTATGGGCTCATACATAGTAGGTAGAATTTTGCTCTAGATAGAGTCAAAATTAATCAATTAATCTTTATCTCCACTAAGAACATTATAGCCTTCTCCCTTAATCAACATGACTTTTCTAGAATCTCGAAAAAGTGCAACATCTTTAATTTTACCCATGAGTGCTTGGTTAAAAAGCCCTGAGGTAACAATATTTACTTCTCTGTCTAACCCAAATCCTCCAAAATAGCAAATGCCTTCATAATTGAGGACAGAATATTTTCTTTGTGGATCTATATCTTCAAAGAGAACTAATTCCTCATCAAGGTACACTTTAATGTGTGTCTCCTCTTGTGCAATGGTGACAAAATGCCACTGTGTGCAACATAGCGACTTTCCTTGGTGAATTAGAGGGATGGTGGTTTTCTCTCCCAGGTTTACCACAACTTTTAGCATTCCATGATCAAGTCCAGCAGCAAGGAAGTCATTGTCCTCGTCCTCAGTCTTTCCTAGCCAGACAAATAAGCCATCCATATTAGTCGTGGTAAAATTGAAAGAGACTCTCGTGAACCTGAGGTCCCTTGTTTTGTACTTGGGGTCGACATATTTGATGTATGAATTACCTGTGAATTTTGCAGTAAAAAACCATACCTGTTTTTCACACCAAAAGCCTGACCAACCCAATTTACATATACATGTGTATGAGAATAACACAGGGTTAGGTTTACAAATCCCTCCATGTAGACACTTATTGTGAGAACAGTAAGTCGATTGCTCACATATTTTCCCTACCCAGTTCTTGGGACACAAGCAAGAAAAGCCAGAGTTTTCAACTTGGCATTTTCCATTATTTTTACACACTTTGTACCCACAAAATGTTCCATCACAGTCACCTACATTAGAACCACGCTTTGCTCCATTCTCAGTTAGCTTTAGTTCTTTGTTATTGACAAGGATCTCTCGAATACATCCAGTAAATCCAGTGGGCTCATTCTGGATCGCCATAGGATTCACCAAGTTTAACGAAGTCACACCGCCAACGTAGAAATCTGTGCGTGTGTCCAGAGCAGTCATACCACTGCTAGCTTTCTGGGTTATATTGATGCCATCGAGATCGAGGTAGCCTTCATTGCCAACTCTTCCTGCTTTAATTAAATACCAAGTATTATTTGAGGTGAGTACATTTTGAAAGGTCTGAAGAATGATGATTCTGTCCCCTAGGTTGTAGCGTAGCTGCACATATCCATTGGCTAAGGAGATACTTAGGAAATCACCTGAGAAGAAGGGAGAAAAGAACACTTTAAACAGTTTATGAACAGGCCAAACATGCACAGATAGAGGCCTTGACACTGTAAAGCACATGACTTTTAACTCATCTACACCGTAGAATTAATGCAGCTTGGCAACACTTTAATTGCCATGGCTCAAAGCTATGGAATCCTGGGATTTGTAATTTGATGAGGCATCAGCACTTTTTGGCAAAGAAGACTAAAAACCTTATAAAACTACAATTAGGATTCATAGCATTGAGACATGGCAAAGTGAAGTCAAACTGCATTCATTATACAGTGTAGATCAGCATTTCTCAACCTGGGGTTGGGACGCCTGGGGGGGTCATGAGTGGGTGACAGGGGGTCTCCAAAGACCGTCTGAAAACATAGTATTTTCTGTTGGTTATGGAGGTTCTGTGTGGGAAGTTTGGACCAACTCTATCGTCGGTGGGGTTCAGAATGCTCTTTGATTGTAGATGAACTATAACTCCCAGCAACTACAACTCCCAAATGTAAAGGTCTATTTCCTCCAAACATCACCAGTGTTCACATCTGGGCATATTGAGTATTTGTGCCAAGTTTGGTCCAGATCCATCAGTGTTTGAGTCCACAGTGCTCTCTGGATATCGGTGAACTACAACTTATTTATTTATTTATGAACTACAACCCCAAAACTCAAGGTTCAATGCCCCCAAACCCTTCCAGTATTTTCTGTTGGTCATGGGAGTTCTGTGTGTCAAGTTTGGTTCAATTCCATCATTGGTGAAGTTCAGAATGCTCTTTGATTGTATGTGAACTATAAATCCCAGCAACAACTCCCGAATGATAAAATCAATCCCCCCCCCCCAATCCCACCAATATTCAAATTTGGGCATATTGAGTATTTGTGCCAAATTTGGTCCAGTGAATGCAAATACATAATTCACATCAGATATTTACATTACAATTCATAACAGTAGCAAAATTACAGTTGTTTTTTTTTTGTCGTATCAGGAGCAACCGCTCCTGTTGTGAGAGAATTGGCTGTCTGCAAGGACGTTGCCCAGGGGACGCCTGGATGATTTTTGATGTTTTATCATCCTTGTGGGAGGCTTCTCTCATGTTCCCGCATGAGGAGCTGGAGCTAATAGAGGGAGCTCATCCGCCTCTCCCTGGATTCGAACCTGCGACCTGTCAGTCTTCAGTCCTGCCGGCACAGAAGTAGCAACGAAAATGTTATGGTTGGGAGTCACCACAACATAAGGAACTGTATTAAGTAATTGTGTCCTTGGGAAGGTTGAGAACCACTGGTGTAGATGCACCCCATCAATCATCTCCTAGAGCTGTCTAGCTCCCAGACAGTAGGAACGGAAGCTTAAGAAGTCCCATCAAATATGGATGGAATGTTGTGTTAGGTTGTGCAAAAATAAATAGCCTCTCCTTTAATAAAGACTCTGGTGCCAAGTGGGACAAGAGGAAGAATTGTTCCAAAACAGCAAGTACAGGACAAAGGAATGTTCTGATTTTTCAGAGTGAGCAATAAAATATATAGTCTTGACCAATATGTATTAGGGCAAGTCTGGAAATGTGCATATTTTTAAAATCCAGTGGGGGGGGGGGGTATGGGCAACGTTTATGAGAACTTGCATAACAGGCAAAATAAATGGTTAAGGCTTAAACTGCGAAGCCTCACATAAAAGTGGCCAAAGGAAAGGCCTTACATAAGGTGCTTTGCAATTGAAGCAACAGAAACTCCTTTCATTTCTTTTGGCAGTTGCTAGGAATACTCCTGGGCTTTTTCGTCAGTCTCAATCAGTCTGTTTTGACAGGCTCATTGAGAAACAGACAGAAGTTATGCAAGACGCCTTCCTCGCTACTATTCTATTATCTTTTTGGGAAATGTGGGTTGAATAGGTAACATGGAGACTGTGAAACAATTTGTGGACTCTACTGATGGAGACTTCTGATACGGAAAGGAAGAATGTGTGACTGATATGAACGCTTGTGGCACTGAGCAAGTAGCCACTAGAAAGCCCCAATGAGGTTGGGGGTAGCTATTGTTTGTCCATGGCAGCAGCCAGCCCCACAGTTTAGAGTTCCAATAAATTACTGAATCTGAAAAGAGGACTAATAGCAAATCTGTGCTGGACTGGGAGGAAAATCCCTAAGTTGAAGTTCTATGGTATGATGTGTGTCATATAGAGACAGTCATGGGGATAGATGTTGTGGCTTTATAAAAAAAAGTTTGTGTCAAAACTTTAAAAATTCCTCCAAAATCAGTAGGCATGTGAATCTTGGAGGGGGGGGGGGGAATGATGCCCTAGTAATCTTGTGTCATTGTAGACAAAATCAAGGAAATAGCTCTTGTAGTTTTTTTTTCCAATGTTGTTTGTAAAACTTTAAAAATTCCCCAAAACCTTTTTTGGGGGGGGGGGGTAACAATGGTAAATGTGTTCTACAATTGTATTAAGTTCCAGCTCAATAACTTTAACAATGAGGAAGAAAGGAACCCCAGCAGTTTTTCCATTGGCATAATTACTTAAGGAAAAAGTAATGTAAAATTTGTTATATTGCTATAGTTACAATACGGACCCCTTACTATATTTTAGAAACACTTTAGAAACAATTCGCCACCACCCCCTAAATTAGTAATGAATATTAAAACATTTTTTTCATTGATCCACAAGCCTAGTGGATACATCCCTGTGAAATAGCCATCAAAGTGTAGTCCTGACATAACTGAGGGTTGGACTAGTACATCCTCTCTCTCAGTCTCTCTCTCTTTTTGTACTTTGACTGACTTTCTCAATATATGTAACATATGAGACACTCTAATGGAGCCCTGCATGTTTGCTTTCCCTTCTGACAGTGTAAGGCAAGTCCAACTTGCGTCCCTTACCTGATCGTGGGCTCAGGTGCTGTGCAGTGTAAAAGAGGATGCCATCACTCAAAAGGGTCTGGAATTGTATTTGGATGTGAACCTTGTGTCGAATATTGAAGGAATCAAATGCCATCCAAGAGGATTTCTTGCTACTGAAAGATGCATCACTTATGGCCAGGGCTACGAAACAAAACAAGAAAGAGATCAATGTGTTGATAAATAGTGAGAAATCACAGTGTGTTTGCCACTAGGGATAGTAAGCACAATATTTTCTCCATTAGAATACAGGATATAAATTAATTTTCGCTGCTCCTCTAAACATATAGTGTTTTGTGCTAGCTTGTGCAATAAACCCAGTGGCACATAGTAGTAGATATAGACTTTTCTGAATCACCATATGGCTAAGCATTTGACTTATTGTGGGAACCACTTCCACTTACCAGGATTCGGTGCAATATATAGCTAAATTAATTAAACTGCAGTCAAACTAAAAAATACAGGATGCCTAATAAAAGCAGCACTAAGAGTAACAGCACATAGTGCAATATTAAGATCCTGGTAGAACAACCTTCTTTGCTCATCTAAAGCAAAATAAAAATCCAGTCCTACCTTCTTCCGAAGGAAATTCTATGGAGTGCTGTAAGTGAAATGTCCTGCAGTGCCCATCTCTAACTGGTGGGACAAATATATATAAGGGTCCAGTATGAACATAACTAGCCACATAAGGTAACAGTAAAGATTTTCCCTGAAATTAAGTCTAGTCATGTCCAATTTGGGGGGAGTGATGCTCATCTCCATTTCTAAGCCGAAGAGCTGGTATTGTCCGTAGACACCTCCAAGATCATGTGGCCAGCATGACTGCATGGAGCACCATTACATATAGCCACATACAGACTTCTAAATATCTTGACACCAAACTGTTTAGTAATCTCTAGATCTAAACCAGTAGCTAAAACAATGCCCCCTCAGTCAGGTGTAGTGGAAAAATGCCGTTTCTTAAAGAAATGCATCTATAATAGACACATTCCTTCACGATGGATGGTGAGGAGCAATGGAGTAATTCAATTTTAATTTAAAAAATCAAATGACAATACCCATGGTCTAAACAGTTGACTGATTAAGATATAAGTGTTCAGTGTAGCATCTAAAAGGCCTAGATGGAGATGCATCTAGCTCTTACACAAGGCCAGGACAACGTTATAATGCAACTGTTGAATAGTGGTGTGTGTAAATCAGCTTCACTGCAGGGATTGCTGTTGGTAGATCGTTTTAGAAAGAAACAGGAAGACAAAAAGCAAGAACATAACTGATGCTCCTGGCATCTCATGGCAAATTTGGTCCTCAAAATGTGGGGTCACATATGCAAGAATATCTTCAATTTTCTGAATCTATATAGATAAAATAAACTGGAGAAATGTGTTTCCATACTCTGTTGTTTTGTTAGCTGAATTCAGAAGAATAATTAACCTCTATGTCTCCAAAGCCTATTTGAAAGTAACATCCCATTTAATATATTATTTCTTATTTAATATATTATTGAAATTAGTTTTGCATTTTTCAGATCTCTTCTCATGTACATGAACTGTTTATTTATTTATGATATTTCTACGCTGCCTTTCTCGCACCCGAAGGTGACTCAAGGCAGCTTTACAACATAGGCAGCTATTCAAATAGAATTAAAACAATGTAAAAATTACAATTAACATTTAAAACAGAATTATAAAATACATACATTAAAACCTTTAAAAACATATAAAAACACTATCTTCACTATTAGCCTTGTCATCCAAAAACATCGTCTAAGCCATTCCAGTATTCGATTTCACAGAGCCCCACGTTTATCTATTGCACTAGGTTCCAAAAGGCTTGTTCAAAAAACCATGTTTTCACTTTACTGCAGAAGGTCAAAAGGGAAGGGGCTGATCTGATCTCCCTGGGGAGGGAGTTCCACAGCCAAGGGGCCACCACTGAGAAGGCCCTGTCTCTCATCCCTGCCAGTTGTGCCTGCGAAGAAGGTGGGACCAAGAGCAGGGCCTCCTCAGATTATTTTAAACTTCTAGGTGGTTCATAGGGAGTTTACAAATTGAAATGGGAATGACTCATTGTCAAGTCTGAGTCATCATCATAATTGGTGATCACTCGTGTCCGAGTACGATTGCCTTCCAAATATAGGGTCTTGGCGGTGGGTCCATGGGTGATCTATCCTTGACCCGCACGTTCTTTCGCAGTGAGGACATCAGTTTCTCATGAAGACCTAAGTCTTAGTATCAAAAGTGTTACTACGATTAATCTTATTTAAAAATATTATTCTCCCTAGTAGTAATACTGCATAATTGACTGGGCTACAAAGTGGATTTTGGACATATTGTTAGACATAACAGCAGTAGGTGTTAAAGCAATTTTATTCTTCTCGTCTTTAAAATACTGGAAGGAGGGCTCAGAAGCAAGAATATCAATGCTAGTACATTGCCAAACGTAAGGAGCATTGATGGTGAGAATCCCACTGGACCAATTAGAATCAAGGGACTTGTGCTGAATCTGAGACTCCTGTTGCTCAGCTGCATTTCCCTTTCCCTCTTGCCCTCATTATTTTCTACTACCTGCCCTACAAACACATCAGCTCACCAGTCCTCTCTTTCACTATCTTTACTAGCAGTTGCTGTTGTCATGGATGCCTCTCCCTCTAGACAATTTTCATATCCACCAAATCCCAAAGTACTGAACTTCGTTGCACATCGCACATCTTGAACCCTGCAACTTCGTTGCATGAGCTTTTTCTGACAACGTCTTTGACAACTTTTGACTTCCATTATTCCCCAGGAATCTTGCCGTGAACATCAAAGACACATCCTGGGACCCAAAGATGTGATCTCTCCTTATGGTTATGTGTAACGTTTTACATGAAAGCAACTTAAGGTAGTGGGAAACAAAAGCTGAACACCCCCAAGATGCACTCATATACTGTGCTCCCTCCTATTATATAGCAGGATGTCTCCAAAGACATGTCCTGAAATGTAATTGTGGAGCTTGTTTCCAAAAGGCACTAAACCAAATGATGATGATGATGAAAACAACAATAATAACTGAAAAATGAGTTACAGCTGGCAACACATTGTTGGCTAGGAGTAGAATATTATGTACAGATCAAAACTATCAAAATGTGTCAAATCACTTTTGTACAGGGCTTGAAAACTTGCATTTTATAGCAAAAGAATGCAAATCCTCAGCATATTATTAGTGTTATTCCTGTAAAAATGTATTCAGGTGGATTTGATACCTTTTGGAAACAAGTTCCACAATTGTGAATAAGGATGTCAGACATATGTTGAGGTACCTGATTCATAAGTAGAAAAGAGAACGGCAATTAATTTTTTTTTTGTTGTGTCAGGAGAGACTTGAGAAACTGCAAGTCACTTCTGGTGTGAGAGAATTGGCTGTCTGCAAGGACGTTGCCCAAGGGACGCCCAGATGTTTTGATGTTTTTACCATCCTTGTGGGAAACTTCTCTCATGCCCCCGCATGAGGAGCTGGAGCTGACAGAGGGAGCTCATTTGTGCTCTCCCCAGATTTGAACCTTCGACCTGTCGGTCTTCAATCCTGCTGGCACAGGGGTTTAACCCACTGCGCCACCAGGGGCTCCAGCAATGAAATACCATATAATTATGTAGTATGTATTATTGCTATAATTATGTAGTACAAATGAGTAGGGCTGGGCGGTTTCGTTTCGTTAATTCGTAATTCGTTAATAATTCGTTAATTTTTTCAATTACAAAACGATAACGAACCATTCTGGAGCAATTATTAAAAAAACGAATTTTCAAAAACGTTTTGTAAATGCTTCGTATTTCAATATTGTATTCGTTTCGTTATTGTTTTGAGGTCGTTTCGTTATTATTTCCGCATGTCTGGGCCAGTTTTATGGTTTAATTAGAGAAAATTATAATATCACACCAACAGTCAACAACAGAGGGAGAGGGAAGCTTCAGAAGGTTTTGGAGGTTTTTTAGCGTATTTCGCGGTCGCGTCCGCCATTAACGAATCGATTCGTTATTGATTCGGAAATCGATTCGTTAATGTTTTGTAATTTTTTTCACATTTACGAAATTTCGTAAATATCGAACTTTTTAAAAGGAAAATTTTGTAATTATTTTAAATATCGAAACAAAAAAACCCCCCAAATACAAATCGATTTTAGAAACAAATTTTTCCGTTGTTACCCAGGCCTACAAATGAGCCCAAGTTGCCCAGTGTAGCAACACTACATGTCATTGTAGAAACAGGTGGCGCAATGGGTTAAAACCTTGTGCTGGCAGGACTGCTAACCAAAAGGTTGGCGGTTCAAATTTGGGGAGCAGAGTGAGCTCCTGTCTGACAGCTTCAGCTTTCCATGTGGGAACATGAGAGAAGCCTCCCACAGGATGGTAAAACATCCGGGCGCCCCCTGGGCAACATTCTTGCAGACAGCCAATTCTCTCACACCAGAAGCAACTTGCAGTTTCTCAAGTCGCTCCTGACATGAAAAACATTGTAGAAACACCAGCTTAGCAAAACCTTGCAAAATTCTGTTCTCCTAAAAATGTGCCTCTTTTATCTAACAGCGTAATTAATTCAAATGAGTTCAGGATTTATTTGTCTACCCTGAGACACAAGTATAGCAAGGACAAATGATAACTTTATGAATCCATGCATTCAGAATGCCAGTGTGCATATTCCTCAATGTACCCTGATCACTGCAACAGGGCAAGTGTCAAGAAATGAGGGTCACAAACTTATTCATGCAGTTCTGAAGATGGGAAAATCTTGCCCTTTTTATATGAAATACAAAATTAAGCAGTATTATGTGATACATGCATATACAGGCACTCCCCAAGTTACAAACAAGATTGGTTCTGTAGGTTTGTTAACACCCCTGTGGTGTTTGTTTTGGTATTTGTGCCCATGTTCAGAAGATTTCACCTCACTTTCTGTTCTTATGATAATTGTATTTTGAAAAATGTGGCTTGTTGTGGAAACAAGGATGGGTGAGAAAGCTTCAATGGAAGCACCTTTTCCCTATTGTAACTTTTTCAGGAGTGATTTTTCCTTCCTAGGGGTAGATTTCTCTCAATTCCTATTGTCTCACCCATGTTCTTAACTATGAGTCATTTGTAAGTCAGATGTTTGTAACTTGGGGACTACCT